GATTGACATTATTTATTTCAAGTATTTAGACGGCTACATTTTAACAGCCGCACACGCGCGCCATACAGTATTTCTAATGCACGTGTATACCGTTTTCCGAAATCCGAATATTAGTGTTTTATTCACATTGTTTCAACAATGTGCATGTCTTTGCACTCGCACTACCTCATAATAATATCGCATCGAAACCTGACTTTATAATGAAAGACCGTTATTATTTAATTTTATATTTCTTTTTTAATTTTTTTTTTTTTTTTTTTATACTTCTGTACACGCGTATATTTTAATGTATTATACTTAATTCATTCCATTATCATAACAGTTCAAAACGATTATAGTCAAATGAAATTAATAATTTTTTAGATAACGGTTAGGAACTCGCGAACAACGCGTTGCATATACAGTTACAATATAATAATTATTTATTTAATAAGTTAAACAATATTTTAATTATTATCATTAGACTTCACAGTTATTCATCGTTGTAAATGTGCATGATGAATAGTCTTTTCATCACATGAGCTGTTCTCAAAAGTACGATTTTAAAATTTAACAACACTAACAAATAATAATTAACAGCTACAAATTCATTATTTTATAAATCGGATATTAATTAATAAATATTTTAATGCTTATCTGTGATACGAATTCATTTTTAGTGAGCATACATTTTTATTAACGGTTAATTAGTACTGAAGTCGTTTTGTATAGTATTATATTATAATTACGTACAGATTCGTCCGAATTCATATTATTTTATCGTCGGGTTGACCTGAATCGTTTAATTTTTTACACGCTTAACCGAGGGTTATCGTTCACATTGGTGTACAAACATCGCTGTGATGTGAGTTTGAAAAAGTCCGTACGTGTTAATCGAGCCCGGAGATCATTTTGCAAACAAAAACAAAAATAAAACAAAAATGTCATGTTCAGTAAATTTACGAATATATTTTTTTTTACACCGGATATAGAATGTTGATAAAATGCGTGTGAATAATACCATTCAGTTGTTAGGCATAATAGATTTTTATACGAGTATATTTAATACGTATATCTTCGTTTACAAACAATACCGTTATGGCGTTTTACGGTAACGGTTGTACTTCTCTGCATAAAACTACATGTATTTGGTATAGATTGTCCGCTATACAAATGGCATATACATATATACCGATTGACCACACGGGTATGTAATGAAAATTAATACATACGTATTTTTACTGTAATGAATATTGAAATGAGAACATCAATGTTTTTAATGTATGCACGGATATGTCACCAGCTTTTAGCTCTTATATGCCACTATATATATATATATATATATATATATATATATATGTGTGTGTGTATAAATGTGTGTGTTTGTGTATGTGTGTATATGTATTCGTGTATTTAGTAGTTAAGGATATGTAAACGTTTTAATAAACTGATAGAAAAATATTTAAAAAAATAACGCTGAAGTTCCACGAAAATTCGAGCATATTTAATTACATATTATACCACGATCACGGTCTACTATAGATACATGAATCGACATACATATTGTAATAGGTGGGTGCAAGTAAATGACACAATTTTACAATTTATTTACTATTTTTCATACGGTACAATTCGATGCACAAAATAAAATCATAAATTCATAAGGTTTGGGCATGAATAATTATGTAACGAATTTTCTATCAAACGGATTATGTTCGATTATTTGAATTATTTGGAAATTATTTACTGTGCACTACGTTTTACACTTAATTTCTTTGGACATAAAAAATTAGACAAATAAAGTATGCATTATTAATATATTGATTTATATGGTATTTCGATCATTCAGTGCGACCCACTGTAATAAAGGCCGCGTGTGGCCGCCTACCTATAGAAAACAAAGTTAATTAATCATCTCACATACCATAAAAATGTATGTTTAATATATTTATAGTATCGATAACTTTAATTTACTCATTCCAAAACATTTAATTTTAAAAATGAAATATTTGTTTTGTAATTGGTTTATTATAACATAATTTAAATTTAGTTATTTTATTTTTATTGTTGTTTTAACCATAACACTTTCATTGATTTAACTTTCGAAGGATACCACATGCTCGGACCAAAAATAAAAATAGGCAGTTCAAATCGACGACCAATTTTTAACTTCTCTCGGAAGGCGTACAAGTACCTAAGTACGTCATTACACCTATTACGTACAATGCACGAATGTCATAGTAACGGATACCCGATTTTCCTACTTTTCTAATAAACACGATTATGATTGATAATTACGTGTCTACTTATGGTTTAAAAATTTTTTAACTGTACGTTTTTAAATGGCTCAGCCGATAACAAATAGTTTAACACATTTAATTAACTATTGCGATTGTAAAAATAATTAATAATTGGTTTTAAATGTTTATAATAAAAATATAGTATAATATTTTATAATATCATGTAAATCTCTATACTCGATCGTGTGCGCCGTATTTTTCTACGGTCATTAAACGCATTGTGTTATTAAATTCCATTTGGTCGTAAATTGTGCTCAATACATTTATATTCAAATACAATTGATGACCAAACTAGTCACAGCGAAGACGAACCGCAGATAACACCTACTTACAAAATTATAAAATAAAAATTACAAATAATAACAGTGTATATAGAAGTTGCAGTACTGTTACTTGTGACGCAACTTTACGTATTATTTTGGTTATGTTTCAATCTAGAGAGAGAGAAAAAATATTTACGTACTACTACTATATGACATATAATAATATGTAATAGCCTTGTAATTGTTATGGATATTATTTATCAAATCGAAACCTATAATAATATTATTATTATTATAAAATTGTAAATTCTTTTTAACAATAGTAAACATTTTATACGGACGGCCGTGATGGGTCAGGCTGTAATATATTTTAATAAAACGATATCATCGTAATCGACTTATAAACGATTATTATATTCTGATTCAATTACAACAGTAATAAAATAAATAAACAATTTAATATCAAATTACGATTCATTTTAACTTAATCTTCAGTAATACGAAGTACGTTCGTTTGATTGCATAGTTCATCAATGAAATAAAATAAATTAATTACTATGCAGTTTAAAATAGACAATTGTTCATAATGATTATTTAATTCAATTGAAACAACACAAAAATGTGAACACGAAATAAAATTTAAGTTGAGATAATTTTTAAGTAGAAAATTTGCAAAACGTACTAAACGTATTTTTTACCAAGTTGTTTTTACTAACTAAAAAAATTTAATTTTAATTGGACAATAATTTGATCAAATAAATGTTACATATTCGTCGGTGATAAACTTTTTCGTAAAAATACGATTATTTTCAAGATATTTTGTGCAAAAAGTAGTTTATGGCTAGTTTTATCAAACTATGTCATTCAAATCTTTAGTAAGACAAGGTTGTCAAGATACTCCTTCGGCGATGACAACTTACATACAATTTTTTAACGGAAACCGGTTGTTATTATCATCCCACGATGACCTAGTGTTACTCGTAAATCCTATTTCGATTTGTAGTAAGCCTTTGTATTTTTAATAAACAACAATTTTATCATACAGGTAACAACAGAACGAACTATATGTTTTTTTCTATAAGGTATAAATCAATAACTCAAAATAATGAATACCAAAAATTTCACAGGTACATGAAAAAAAAATATGTATTTAATATACGATTTATAAAGATTTATTATTCAAAACTAGAACGTCTACTAACGTATATTTTATACAAAAATAAATTGCAATAAATTGATGAAATTGTTTTGTGATAAATTATAATTTATAAATGGTCTCATTCGACGAATTTACTAGTAAACCAATGAAAGTATCGTTATTGTCTAATTCTCAATATTTTAAATAAATAAAGTATAAATTTTTTGTCTTCAAATTTAAAATGATAAACCAATATATTTATTAATTTATATTATTGGGTATCGATTGAATTATAATTATTTCCACCAATAACATCACATTATATGACGAATGATCTAAAAATGCATCTATGAAAAATATTATTGACAAGTTAATTAAAATGTCATCCTTAAAGTATAAAGAATATTTATTGAAAGAAAAACTATTACATTTAAAAAAGTGATATTCCCAGTTGCTAAACGTATTTTATAAAATATAAATTTATCTTCAATATCAACAAGTTCTTAAATGGATTTACCCGGCAGTATGATCCAGTTAAATATAATTATAAATAAACTTACGAGTATAACGACTGTTAAATATTACAAACGATATCAAAATAAAGCTCAAAAATGTCTCCGAAATATATTAAGATTACTATTTTTATTTGTAAAACACCCACCCATATAAACCATTTTGCGCGGTCGAATAGTAAACAAAATTTAGTTATTGAATAAATGAATATAATAGCTGTTTGGAACAAAATGAAAGGGACAAACTTTATTTTAAAGTTGACCTCTCTATTTGAAGTGGATTGTATCAAGATTTAATCAAATTGTTAAATATTATATAAGTACAACGTCAGTTTATACTTATGCATTTATACTAATTGTAACTAAGAACAGTACAAACAAATAATACACATAGTTGTATATATTGTTTAGTTTCGTTAGGAAAATATAAACATCACTATTCTGTTAGTACTAAAAAAATTTAATTTTACAGGTAAATCATAACTGTTTACAGGGAAAGGACCAAATATCAATACGAATGTTATTTAATAAAAGTAACGAATTTTTTCATTCTCAAATCTGATAAAATTTATAGATTCGAAATGCAAGAACGCTACAATACGTTAATAACAAACACGAAAAATTCTTTGAATCATGATCACGCGTGGATAACAGTAATTTTTTCGACTTGGAAATCAATACTTATTAAAAAAATCAACTAAAAAGTGTTGTGTTTCGATTTTAATAATAATTTTAATTTAAATCTTAAAACGATGCACAAAAGTGTAAATTATGAGCAAAATAAAATAATACGATTAGGATTACTTACTGTTGTTGCCGGTGGGAACGACTACGTAGTTTAGGTTATCTTTAGACTCCTTGGACGAATCAGCACCCATCTTACCGTTCGAGTGTCTTCGATCGAATAACCGGCATAGTCCGAAACAGTCTGTCATAGTACTCGGTCATCGGGCGTTTCAAAATGGCAGCGGATTTTTTTTCTCTCTTCGGTTCCACCTTATCTGAATGATTTTTAAGTATAGATATACAAATCGACCCCCGTTGTGCGCGCGGTGCGATAAACGGACACACACACACACACACACACACACACACACACTCGCATGCCACATACATACACGCATATATTCCGTACACACATTCGTTTTTGTTTGTTTATCTCTGTGCGTACGTATGTGTATGTGCGTGCACGCGTAATATGTGTACAATTTAAATTAAATAATAATAATTGCAATGTACCTTTAATATATCGAAGAACGTACACTATCGGTGGTCCTTAGACGAATGACTGTTTGGCCGCGACCACTATCGTTGCAGCAGGCCGTAATATTAAGTTATAATAAGTTATAAAAAGTGCACGCGTATTTATTAAAAATGCATGAGTATACGTGCCTCACACTCACGCACACACACGCACGCACACACATACACTCAAACTCGCGCGCGCGCGCACACACACATGGGTATGGAAACCGTAGGCGTATTCGTGTTATACATTACGACCCGTGTAAAAGTGGTAACCACCGTTTGTACTTGCTGTGCACACACGCGCACGGTCGCCAATAATAATTCCGCGTGTGATTATGACCACCACCGCGGACGGCGACATAATATTGTTCACAACGCGTGTGATCGTTTTGGTACTCGTCCTCCTCACTCGATGACCGTAGTACGGTAACCGGAGCTTTCGATTGTTACAATATTGTTCGCGCGGGCAGCGCAATAGGTAAACGATGTACCATGAGTAAACGCTCATATGTACCATGGCTTATGTTGAGGTTTTCTTGGAAGTGCGCAAAAATTAAAACTCAACCCCCTTCCTAAACTCTCAAAAATATTACTCCCTGTGTATGAGATCATAAATCCCGCTGCCGTAGCGCAATAATATTGTAATAATATAATAATAATAATAACACAGTCTTAATAAACCTAATGTGATGATTGACGGACCCTCTACCTGCACTCGTTCATGATGTAGATCAGTGTTTCCCAACTGGTGTTCCGCGGAACCTAAGGGTTCCGTGAGCTTGCGTGAAGGGTTCTGTGAGAAATTTAAGAAAATGTAAATTAATTAGCAATATTTTGATTTGAACATAGATCTCAACATAGAACTGGAATCGACACATTTCCCGATATGAGGTGCATAGTTTGTAGCTTTTCGGCGTATACAAAGACAAAAAGTAAGTTTCGAAATCAACTGAACGCGGCTTCGGACTTACGAATCTCACTTTCAGGAATAACTCCAGATTTAAAAACAGTTATGAAAAAAACTATGAAAATATTCCAATCTTCTCATTGAATCTATCTTAGAGGTAATGAGAGACAAATATTAAATTTTAAGCTTTAATATTACATTTATAATATTGTAATAGTAATAAACAAAATAAAATGTTAAAGCCGTCTTTTTTTTTTTTTATATATTAATGACACTCTTGTGCCGGGAAGTGTCCGATAACCCACTAATTTAAGTGTACAAAACATTTGCCTGTATTAAAATTATAGAAAAAATATTGGGGTTCCACAAAACGCACAAGCTCTTGCAAAGGTTCCGCAGGTAAAAGAACTTGGGAAACACTTATGTAGATAACTACAATTTATTATTGTGAGAAATGTTGTTTATAGATAGTATTTACAACTGTGAATTTTCTATTTAAAATTGCGCAAAATGTGTTCAAACGCACGTTAAAATTAGCCCTAGTATATACTGTGTGTAAACGCTAACTGAGAACACTCAATATAAAGTATATAATATTATTTGCGCAGAGACTTGCAATTTGAATTCTGTTTTTTAAATGGTTTTTATTACACAAAAATACACATTTTTAAGATCTTTGAAATTGGACAAGCACATGCACAGTATAACTTTTTTTTTCATAAACAGCAACCACCTATTTTAACTACTAATTATTTTTGGCCTACATTTTTACTTAACTTTAACTGCCTAGCATAGGTTAAGACAACTATTTAAACAATTTATACGATGAATTATTTAATAATTAAAAAAACTTATAGCTCGAATAAGAACTAAAATTTTTATTAATTATTAATCTATTCCATTGATTTGTATAGATTTATTTAACGTAGCAAAATAAATAACATACTTATTTACGGTTTAATGATATAAGTTATAATTCTTGCACGAATTTAAGTGAAAATGAACAGCAGTTAAAATTATAATAACTTGTAAATCTCACCTCAATAAATAGAGGTAAAAATGTTAATTCAGAATAACCCTAAAACAATTATTTTTAGTATTACAGTAAAAATACTGAAAATCTCGAGTATTTTACCAATGTTTTTTTTTAAAAAATTGCTGTAAATTGGTCAATATTGGACTTAGGAAGTTTGCTGAAGCACCAAAATGCATTAAAAACCAGGTGAACAATAATTAGTGGTTAAATTAAGTGGTTGCTATTTAAGAAAAAAAAATTGTACTACGCATGTGCCAGTCTAATTAAGTTACAAAAAAATCGGAGATCAATAAAATATATACTTTTATGTAATAAAAAAGAACTATAAAACAGAATTCAAATTGCAAGTCTCTACGCTAAGATATTGAGTGTTCTCAATTAGCGTTTACACATTGTATATATATATATATATAGACAATCTCTTGTGCGCGCGATATGCACAACTTACAGTAATTGTTATAACAATTTACTAATACAGTAAAACCTCTAAATACCCGATACTGTCGATTGTTGCTATTTTGTCCGCTATTCAGAGGTTATGTTATTAAAAGGGAGATATTTTATTTTTATAAATTAAATTAATATTAAATTAAAAATTAACATACCTACATGAAAAAAATCAGTTACTTTAGCTTGTCTACTAGCTTCAGCAGGCACGTAACCAGAGATTTTTTTTATAAGAGGGCCAACATTTTTTAGCCCCTTTCTGTTTTTTGTACCCAATACCACTCCTCTCCTTATCAGACAATATCCATAAAAAATAATACTAAATTTCTTAATATATTGTCTGTATTGGTTAAGCATTATATTTTTATAATATATTAATATATTAATACAATATACATCTTCAACAACTATATAAGGACTATCGTCTATTTTTATGGTTCGCTGCAAATCTTTCAGTAAATTTATCTAAATCTAATAATTTTGAAATATGTTTCTTAATTGACAACAGTGTCAAATTATTTAATCTATAACAAAATAAAACAGTTAATTAGTTATCACATAGATAGACTGTTAATTATAATTATGTAATAAGATGTTTATAATTTACAAATAAATTATTTTATTTATATTCTGTTAGATAATTATACTATACATAAAAGCATTTTTAAAAATATGCTTAATTCAGATTTTGTAGAAGTATATAATTGTTTGAGTTTATTACAGATTTAAATATTAATGTGTTATTGTACCAACCTTTTATTTTTCATAAGAGATCTCATATGATTCTTAAGTCTTCTTAAACAAGAAAACGTTCTTTCACACCCAGTACTTGAAATTGGAATAGTTATGATGATTTGTATAATTTTATGAGTTTCAATAAACTTGTATTTTTCTAACAGTACCAATAATTTCATCATGGATTTAATGTTCGGCTAAAGGCTGAACGTGTGCAACACTTAAAAAATGTTCATTATCAGGATGTAAATATGAGACAGCACTGAGAATATTTTTATTATTGGAAAATCGATTTTTAATTTCTACCAAAATGTCATCAATAATTTTATAATATAATAAAGTTTGATTTTTAAATCTATTTTAGATGTAGGCGACTCTTCTTCTATTACATTTTGCTGTGTAAATAGAAATCGTTCAAAATGTTTCGGAATTTATTTTTTATTTTTATATTAGTATCTTGAGAAAGTATGGTTATGTTATTTTCATCACAAATAGACAAATAGAAATAGTTTCAGCATATATGTTATTAAAAGTTGTATTTGTATTTTTTAACCTCATAACTTGAAGGGTTGTTTTCAAAAATGAAATGAAAATCAACGCATTAGTTAATTCACCACTTGTATTTTGTAAATAATCGCTTATTCCCTTAAACATATGTAGGATATAACAGAACATTACAAAATTAAAAAAGAATTAAAAATACATTTGATGAATTGACCCTGTAACTTTTACAGCATGATCTCTTTCATATATTAATTTATTTAATAGTACAAGTAATGGTAAGAGCTTTTTTCGTTGTTTAACATGCTAATATTTGTACTGTCCGTCGCGTTAAGCAAATACGCTTAAGTTCAACTTTGGCATTAATTTCATGGAATTTTGAATATCAACAAACTGATCACGAATAGAAAAACCAGAAATAAATGCATACAGACTTTTTATCAAATCAAAAAACATTCTAACTCCAGATACATTTTTATATGTATTTACAATAACCAAATTCAGGCGACGATTGTAACTATTTATAGTTACTATATATAGATTCACTATTATATTTTATTGTCTGTAGTTGTGTTTATCAAATGTGTGTTCGATACCCGTATTTGGAATTCCTAGTTTTCAATCTATTAATATACGTATTATTGTCTTATCTCAAATTATCGAGTGACGTATACTTATAAAATAGAATCTCGGAATTTAATTTTTGTTATACGATCGTTAACTATATGGAATATACCCTTGGGATTTAGCTGGTTTAGGACAATTTAACACTATAATGTTTAAAAATAAAAATCAAGGAGGCCAGTTCGGAGCCATTGACTTTTCTTAGGGGACCAGGCCTCCTAAGGCTCCCTCTTGACGACGTGCTTAAGTTTTAGACATAGTCACTTCGTATGTGAAGGCATTTTCTAGTTCGACCGTATTGGTGAACAATGAAGTACTCTTTATTTCAATAGAAGAAATGTATTTACGTATGCCCTTTACTTCCGTCAATGCTTCTCGTAGATTCCCTACTTATATTTGTGGAGTTAATTGTTACGGATAAGATAAGATGGACCATAATAATGTATGTCAGCGTTTCCCAAATAGTGGGTCGCAACCCACTACTGGGCCACGAAAATATAATACCGGATCGCAGAATTTAATAAACTTCTTATACCTATTAAATTTGTTATTTATCATTTCGTTTGATAATTTGAACTTTCTAGTAAAAATCAATTCATTAATACGAATAACTATATTTACAACATAAATAATAATTATTGAGATTATCAACTAGACTTTATGAAAATTCTTATAGTATGGCATTCGTCATATTTATATATCTATACAGTATAATAGTAACAAATGAACGCTTCAATTTTATTACAAAATGCTATGTGAACATTCAAATGTGTTTTATTTTACCTTTTTTATAATAATACAATGATTAATGTGTAATATTTCGATTGGTCACGAAAGCGAAAAATATTA